TCCTCGCTCATAATTAGCAAGGCCCTTCCTTACTAGAACATCCTCGCTCATAATTAGCGAGGCCCTTATTAGAATGTCCTCGCTCATAATTAGCGAGGCCCTTATTGGAACGTCCTCGCTCATAATTAGCGAGGCCCTTATTAGAACATCCTTGCTCAAAATTAGCGAGACCCTTATTAGAACATCCTCGCTCATAATTAGTGAGGCCCTTATTAGAGCATCCTCGCTCATAATTAGCAAGGCCCTTCCTTACTAGAACATCCTCGCTCATAATTAGCAAGGCCCTTCCTTACTAGAACATCCTCGCTCATAATTAGCGAGGCCCTTATTAGAACGTCCTCGCTCATAATTAGCGAGGCCCTTATTGTAACGTCCTCGCTCAAAATTAGCGAGGAACTTATTAGAACGTCCACGCTCAAATTAGCGAGGCACTTATTAGAACATCCTCGCTCAAAATTAGCGAGGCTCTTGTTACTCGCTAATTAGGAGTAAGTATTAGTTAATACTGTCTATATACCTGCAAAACAACACTGCTTGATAACACCAAGATTGCTGCCACGAGATAGATTGAACCCCTGATCTTTTCTTCATTAAATATGTCAGCATCACCATCATGTGGTGGAGATGGTAAAGAAAACTGAGCCTCTTTTTCTGGTATGTGAGCATTTGAGCTACTTTGCATTAGGCTCATTAGAATTGCCCCTGTTATGCACAATAGTGTTCCTACAATTTTGACTTTGCTGTATTTGCACTTCAACTCCACCTTCTCTAATCTGCATATTAGGTCCTAAAAATTAGAATTGCAACTAAAGCAAATAATTAGAAAAAAGCAATCTTTTTCTATATTGAGAAGGGGTAAGGAGTCTAAATCAATGGACATTAACGAACCATCATTGATGGACATTGCACACGACATGATCAATTCGACTCAAGGTCTCGCACTGATAGATGTTGCTTATGGACATGCGCTCTTTGATAAGAATGGACATTGGGCCTAACTCAACCCCAAAAGCTAGCTTGTGAGGTGAGGATTGCCCAAGCCATATAAGGAGACCAAGGACCTCAACTCCCACCGATGTGGGACAACTCAACACTCTTCCCCCAACTTTCCAACATTGGGGGCTAGCTTGCTTCTATTGGTGGCGGGCGGGAGAAGGGTCAAAAGGACATGTAGTCGGGGCCGAGTCAAAAATAGAAATTGGAACCAGCTTCTTAATGGATCTTTTTACATATAAACAGTCGGATTTACTGTTTACTTTTATACACATACCCCACTACTTTTAGTTTAAGCGGTTGAGTGAGCGACTATTTTAGATTAATTCTTCTTCTATTTTTTTAGTACTAATATCTGAACAATTAATCTAATATAGTCCGACTCTTTATAGGACCTCGTGTGTAGCGAGAGCTTAGTATACCGAGATGCTCATTATTAATAGTTTATCTAATAGGATAAAGGGGAAAAAGATAGGATAAAAAAATGGAAGGTAGAATAATACCCAAAAGCCCAAGCTATGAGAAAGATGAGTCCTGGTGCAAGGTTTGGCATAGCTGTTGCCATTGCAGGTGAAGTCAAATTGATTCCCTTTATGTATAAAGATTGGAATAATGTCACCCTGCAAAAAAAAATAAAAATAAAAAAAATTAGATGAACTAAATAAGCAATGCCAAAACTTCAAATTATACTAGCTAACCCCTGGAGGCAGATCTAGAGCGTGTCTACAGGTTCAATTGAATTCACTACTTTCGGCTCGAATTACTTATATTACATATGTAAAAAATA